AAGGAAGATATGAGCTTTTGCTTTCAGTATTCTACCCTATTTACTAATTATAATGACTTGATATTTTTTACATTGTAATTAGTAGGGTTTCTCTTCAATAAATAGCCTGTTGCAGTGTGTACTGGGAAATTAAGTTTCAGAAATTCCAGAGTACTTCAGCATTACTTATCTTGTTATTTTGCAATATTCTTGGTGGGATATATGCCCAAACACGTCCTGTGACCACAATGAGATATGGGAAATGTGTGGTCAGTTTGGTTTCTTAATAGTAGTCTTATGAAATGGACCCTATTTAACAGGAATAACCTTATTCCAGGAAAGTCATGTCTCAGATTTAAGTATACGAAGAAGTATGTTACATAAATTTTAGCTCAGAACATAGCATGCCTGATCATACCTTTGTTCATTCCTGTGAATAGAAACTCTAGATGAGTTACTTTTTAGGGTAGAAGGAAATGTTTAAGAATTAGTTTCTAACTGTAAAGGAAAAACTTATCTTTGCCCAGGCACTGTTAATGTTTGTTTTTTGCACTACATGTACTTTTTTTCTTTATTACATGTAATTTTTTTCTGTACTATATGTATTTTTGCACTACATATGCTTTTTTTTAACGTGAAAAAATTCTCTAGTCCATTGAGATAACACTCCACATATGAATGTTAACTTCCCTATATATGTTCATATATATTTTGGAATGAAGCTATAAGTGATCTGTATGTTCCAGCAAAAGGGAGTAAAACTCTGAATGAAAATGCTTGGCTTTATGAAATACTTGACTTGGCTTTATGAAATGCGTGGCTTTATGAAATACTTTATGAAATACTTGACAGGTAATCTTACAATTAATGTTGAGTTGATACCATTTTTTAAATGTCTCAGTTGTCTGGCTACAAAACAAAACAAAACTAAACAGAGTAACAGGTTTTAGGCATAAGGCTTTATGTTGGTGAAAGGGATCTGTCCTTTCTCTTGCAACTGGTAACTATCCTGTAGAAGTGGTATAGAGAAGCAAGGTAAATGATGAGCGTATCCTGGTTTCATATTTAATAAGGAATTTAAGAAAGTGCTAATCTCATAGAGGAGCAAACCTCTCTATAGCAGCTGGCAAGGCATCACGGGGAGAGGATGCCACTTCACAGCCCCCCACAGGCGCCCACGAATACAGCTCGCTCTTCTAAAAAGTTATTGGAAGCCAATTTCTCAAACTCATTTCAAGGAGTAATTTTAATATCTAAATGCTTCTATGCTTTTGAATACTGTATTCATTATTGGAGGTGTGACCAATTCGTACTACTGTGATAGAGAGAGAGAGGATATGACAACAAACATGTAAGGGTTTTTCAAAGATAAAAATGTGGATGCCAATCCGTCAGTATTCCTAGTAAGAGGTGTGCCAATTTCTTGGAGGTAATAAAAGAAAATTTCTGTTTTGACCTGAGATCTCTGCACGTTCAAGTGCCATTCCTGGGGTGGGGAACGATTCTGAAGTCTGTGAGGAACTATTTGTTTGAGCTCTCAGAGCCTTGGGATCATCGTGTTCAAGGTAGATTGATTGTATGGAGACAGGAAAGATGTTCAGAGAGACAGTGAGAGAGAGAGGCAAGGACAGAGACGCTTAGGGAGCATGCTCTACAGGAAGGCAATCATAATCAGCCAACTACAACTTCCTGTGACAGACTGATTTTCCCCTTTTAAAAATTTAGAGTTCTTTTCTCTTTTATTTGTGAAAGCTAAGAGTCAACGGAAAGTTGGACTAATAGAAGTCTAAGTAATGTTGACTTTGAAAGACCCTAGATAAAGCATCTGACCTCATTATTTTATACCCAATTGTTGTAGTTTATGATTAAGAGATGGAGACAATATAAAAAATAAATTAAAAAAATTGTTGGTATACTGTTCTGTAATTATTTTCAAATAAACAAATAGGGAAAAAATGACTGCTTTAAGGGACAGAAATGACAGAGAGTAACTGTATATGTCGCATGTGTAGATTTCTTTGCTCTTCATGAGATAAGATGCACTGATTTGAGTATTCTTTGTGATAAAATAACAATAACTACGCTGAAATAAAATTGCAAAGAAGAAAAGGTTTTGAGCCCTGTTATCATCACTTAAATCTTTTAGATCTTTTTTCCTTTTCAACTAAATGATCTGTTGGTTCAGCTTTCATCTCTTTTTTCTTTTATATAACTGTGAAGAAAATAAGGTTGTGTGACTAGGGCAAGAGTCTGGAAATAATAGTGATAGGAAGGTTATCTCTGATGGCTCCAGCTTACCTAGCTCCATTTCACATACACTTGTCACCCAAAGCTGAATCCCTAGAATGTACAAGGGGTCATAATACATGTATTTGTGGTTTTTTAAATTTCATCTTTGTCTTACACATTGGCCTCATAGAGGGGACATTTTCCTTCCATTGTAGGTTGCTTGCTTTATAAGCTGGGTATATTTTGCCTTTCACGTGATAAACAATAAGGTTTCCTTAGCCCACACAAGTATACTAGTTCCTACGCTGCCTATCATCACCGAATCATTGAAAATAAATCTCTACTTATGCATGTAAAAAAAAAAAATCCACTGAAAGCCAAAGATCAGAGAGTTGTTTGTGTTGGCTACTTAGCCCAAGATATGTGTCCATCAATTAGTCATCTCTCCTAAGAAAACAAGGAAATGATTCCAGTGAATTTACTTTCTTAGGCTTAATATCTCTGGATCTTAACTCTCTTCTTTTTAGAATTTGGCCTTTTCTTCTGGCAAGTCACAACAGGAAATCCCATATCACCTGGAAGAATGTGTCTCCCTAAGTCATCTCAAACCTTTGATTTGAGAAAAGGCTAGATTAAAAAAAAAAAACTCTGGGTCTGGTCCATTTATTAATTATAGCTTTATTTTAAATACAGCTATAATAATAAATAATAGGACTAACAGCAATAGAACACCTCTTATTTAGGGGAAGAGAGGGAGAGATTAAATTTGTAAGAAGTAGTGCTACATTTTTAAGGTTATACGGAATGTATAGCAGTATCCTTATTATTTTCACTCCAGCTATGAATGGGAGAATGTGTAATAAAACTGTACAATTTGACAGATGTAGACAGCTGTCTCCCTCACAAGAAGTTCACGTTTTGTTACTTTCACCCTCGTTGAATAAGGGACAGCTAGGTGGTAAGGTCCATTTACAAAAATGGTTGTCAGGACATTTTTTTTTTTAATTATAAAACTCTCTGTGATGGAATTCAGTAAAAAGGCTACGAAGAGAAAGCAACGGAGACAAAGGATGGCTATTAACCTACAGATGCAGGCTACTGCATGCTTCACTGCAAGATTTGTCACAGTCTTGGCCAATGGAGTGTTAGTGAGACTAGAAGGGACCACCCCTTTTCTGGGGTAAGGGGGCAATTTGGTCTCCATGCTCATTTAATCCTGAGACTTCTTTGAATAGACTGTCAATTGAACCTAAATTGTGCAAAATTATGCATGCACTTTTTAATGCAGGGTATTGTTCACCAAGCACTGAACCAAGGTTTCTCAACCCATTTCCATTTGGCATGAGGTCACTTGAAACTTAAGTAATCATATATGGAAAGACAAGAGCAGTGTACTTAACCAACCCTTCTCCATGATGGCGCCTCTACAAATGCCCACTGGGCTTTAATTACCAATCTCTCGCTTGAAAACCAGACACAAATGCTGGCTACGGTGACACTTGGTTTTTTTAATTGAGGCTCCTATTCCTAAGGTTGGGAGCAGATCTGGAAGGTCAGCGTTTGCTGCATTGTCTACACAATGCTACAACTGAAATTGTAGAGGCCTAGGCATTTATCTAAGGACAAAGGACTATAGGTGTGTGCTTTGGGGCTAGTACCGTGAGGCCTTAGAATTTTGTTTAAATCCAAATGTGGAGAGGTGGCCTGGAAAGCCAGTGAGAAAAATGTCTATCAGACTTGTAGCTTTAGGTTGGACTGACATGTCATTTCTTTTCAAAACCTGAACAGAACATTAACAGGAAATTTATTGATACATTAACCAAAGGCTATTTTCATGGAGTCCTGACAGAACACACAGCATTAAGTCATACTTGCCAAGAATTATTCTGTGAAAGCGTTGTACGGGCGACAGCTTACACAGCCACGATCTGCTTAACAACAAGCGAGCTCCTGGCCAGTGGGGTGGAGTCAGTGCGAACTCTACACAAACTCTGAGCAGTCTCGCGACGGTGAAAGGCACTTTACAAATGTTTAAGGCTGCGATTTTATAGGGACTGGCTGCTTTCTTGCTTTTTCATCCGTTGTTAATGATTACAGGTTGGCAAAAGGACACAAGGCTAGATTATCCGCAGCGCATTAAAGCCTGCCTTCTCACTCCCCTTCTTTCCACTGTAAGGTGGTGAAAAGTGTAACTTTAGTATTTTACAGGAGAGGGTAGAGGTGTTTCATCTAGGTGACGTCTATATTATAAAAATAAAATAAAAATATATAAATAGGTAACACGAACCCAGTGCCTATTGTTAAATAAAATGTACAATGAGGACAGGCCTTGCAGGAAGACTGCTTTAAACACAACGCGCTGAAATGATTTAATCATTGAAAACGACTGAGAACAACCCAGACGCGGGGCTGAAGCGACTCCATCGCGGCCCAAGAGGCAAAGGAGGCCGCGCGCTGTCCTCCGAGCCCGGCGGGGTGCGCGGGGGGCGCGCGGGGGGGTGCGCGGGCCCGTCGCCCGCGTGGCGCCGCCCGCGTGGGTCCTTCCACGGACCCGGCTCCTCGGCGGGGGCCGTCGGCTGGCGCGCCCACGCCTGCGGGAGTCCACGCGCGCCAGGAGGGGGAGGCGGGAGGGCGGCCGGCCGCGGTGGGCCCTCCCGCCGGCCCTCGCCGCGGGCACGCGCGACTCGCGAGGACGCGATCGGGAGCGGGGAGCGGTCTTCGCTGTCTAATGGCGGGGTAAGCAGCCCGGGCCCGAGGGAAGGGACGGCGCGCGCATGCGCCGCGCGCGGGCCCTAGACAATGTAGCTGGTGAGGTCCAGCAAGTAGGAGGTCACGTCAATGATCTGATCGAGAATACCTGCGCGCGCCGCGCGCCGCGCGCCCCGCTCCGCCTGCTCGCACTGCGGCCCCAGGTACCCCTTCTTGCACAGGCACTTGTTGGGCCTCACGCAGACGCCTCCGTGTCGACAGGCCGGCTCACACTTGGCTGAAAGAAAGCAAGGACCGCTCTGTGTGTGTGAGGTGGGGGGGGGGGGGGTCAAGGCCACGCGACGCACAGCCGGGGAGGGAGGTTTCCAGCCCCCGTATCGCCACGATCATCATCATCATCATTCTTTGGGGGGGGGAGGCACAACTAGACACAGAATGAAAGCCATTTCTAGAGAGATCACGAGAAGCCGGTCTTGCAGAACGGACTCCTATCACACCCATGTCAAGCCTTCGGGGTCCCCCTCCGGGGCCCCCCCCCAGGCCAGCCCGGAGACCTAGGCAGCCACCGACCTAGGAGGTCGGGCTGGTGTGGGAGGGGCGGAGCATGCGCAGTGCGGGAGGCCTGGCAGCCCCGCATGGAGGAATCCTCGCACGCAGGCTCGGTGGGAGGCAGGCCCGGCTGCTCCAGGGGGCCGGGGACCGCGTTGGGTCGTCAGCGCACCGCCGGTCACCCACGGCGCCCACGGCACCGACGGAGAGGGCCGTGCCGATCCCGGCCTTCGAGGAGCCGCAGCCCGTCCTTCCACACATCCATGAGCCCAGCGAGCTGCTACATCGCAAGGTGGACGGCAGAGGCAGTGCCATGTGTTTTCACACATTAGCAGATAAAAGCAAGGACTAAGACATGGCTGAAGAGGTGGGGCACTTGCCAAGCAGGGCAAGGCCCAGGGCAAAGCCGTGCTGCCAAACAGTATCAGGGTGTCTGAGCTTATGCAAGGGAGGGAGGGAGGGAGGGAGGGAGGGAAAGAAGAGATTGCCTATATTCTCTTTTAAACTATAGGAGACAAAGACACCATTAGATGTATGAATAAAGGTCTAGCTTGGGTCAAAATGTCCCAGATTGCGTTTATGAGACGGTTTTGGACTATCTCATCCATAAAAAATACTTCAATTAGAAAGAAAATTTCATTGGAAAAAGTAAAGTACTCTACTAAAATAAACACAAATGTCACCTCAAAGATGTCTATTTTCATTCATCTCTCATATTATTGTTAACGTCTACTAAGATAGGTATATTGCTACCAGTATTAAAAATAATTTATTCACCCTTAGTTTAAACAAACTAAAAGACACTCCGAATTTGTGAACTGGTTATTGGAGATGACACTGCAGTTAGAGGAAGTATAGAAATTGAACAGAATGGATGGCTTAATTACAAAGTGACAGTGAGCAGACACTGCCAGGCATCCAAAGAGGCCAAGGGATCATATATTAGCAGACATTTGAATATTATATTTTGACATTGATATTCATTGTTTGGTCATCTAACAAGAAGGGAAGAGAATAAGTCAATAGGTTGTATTAATTTAAATTAATATAGTGACTTAACTTCTTGGATTTTAAGCAAGCTTCCTCCTAGATACCTATCTATAGTTATTGATTGTATTATGAACAATTTTTGATCAGTTAATGAAGTTATGTTAGTAAATTGCCAAATCAAGCTTAAAATATAAATATGTGATTTTATGTTGAATATTTCTGTTAGACAATGTATAAAGTAGACAGGTTGTGGCTACAATTTTGGGAATGAAATGTGCCTGCAGAATAAATAAAGAGAGGTATTTATAGGGTAAGAATCCTACTAAATATTAATTTGGAGTTTGAATTTTCATTGGCAGAAGCCACTTCAATGTGTGAAAACAAAAAAGCGGAGAACAAAAACATTACTAATGTTTCTAATACACATGGTTTTTGTTGAATATACATGTCTAACATGGGTATCTTCAGCTCTTAAGTTTCTGAATGTATCCAGTTTTCTTATTTCATACCAAGTACAACTCAACCAAATGGAGGAAATCTCGAGTTAAAGGATAGAGTGACCCTGAACAAATATGTCTCTTTTGCTGTCTTTCAGCAGCAACACACCTGCTTGACGGTTCATGAGGGAGTGACAAACAGAATGTTTAAATCTCCCAGTACACCTCTAGATAATTGCATTTTCCCTTTTTATTTAGTAACACCCACTGAAAAACAGTGTGTGCATGCGCACATGCGTGCTTCAGCAAGAAAGCCAGCAGTAAAGCCAGGGAAGGCATTTATGGGGTGTCTGGAAAATGCTAGCACTCGGAGAGGGAGTTGGCAAACACTAAGTCATTGGTTGGTGTGAGGGCTCAGGGCTGAACACCCCATGGAGATGACATAGCTGGGTAGCTGGGCAGCGCTCCCTCCCTCCCTCTCTCTCTCTCTCTCTCACCTTTTGAAAGACTTCAGTCATTTATAGGTCCTTCATACTCATAATGAACTCACCTATGTGAACAGCTAACAGTGGGAAGCAGGAAAGGTGAGCATGAAGGTAATTGCAAACATCTAAACAGTTTTGCACACTTGCGGACTCTAAAGGAAACACCCGATGCTAAGTTCTTGAGTTCCTCCCGGCAGTCCCACCTTCTGGTCTTTTGAGTGACAGCGGAGATACTGACCGATCCTGCAGAAGTCGCCCTCCCAGCCCGGGCTGCAGCAGCACCTGCCCGTGGGGGTGTAGTAGCCATTGCGACAGAGCCGGGAGCACTCGGACGTCAGCGTCTGTGCGGGCTGCACGGGCACTCGGCATTCTTCAGGCATCAATGGTCTGCAGCCAAGACAAGAGAGGGAATTGCACTTTCCTTGTGAGTCAGTATTGGAAGGAAACCCAGTGATTCAGTGTATTTACTGCTTTCAAGAGACCTTTGTTTCAAATGGATCAGTGTGTGTGTGTGTGTGTGTGTGTGCGCGCGCGCACGTGCACACGTAGGTACTAGTCCTGGAGCTTGAACTCAGGGCCTGGGTACTGTCCCTGTGCTTTTGTGCTCAAGGCTGGTGCTCTACCACTGAATCACAGCTTTACTTCCAGCTGTTTTTTTAACTTTTAGTAATTAGTGGAGATGATAATCTCACTGATTTTCCTGCCCAAGCAGGCTTCCAATCCCAATTCTCAGATCACAGCCTCCTGAGGAGCTAGGATTACAAGCATGAACCACACTATAATCCCTTCCTCCCTCCCTCCCTCCCTCCCTTCCTTCCTTCTTTCCTTCCTCTTTCTTTTGGCCAGTTCTTGGGCTTGAACTCAGAGCCTGGGCACTGTCCCTGAGCGTCTTTTGCTCAAGGCTAGCACTCTACCACTTGAGCCACAGCGCCACTTCTGGCTTTTTCTGTGTATGTGCTGCTGAGGAATGAAACTCAGGGCTTTGTACATCCTAGGCAAGCGCTCCACCACTGAGCCACCTTCCCAGCCGATCCTTTCCTTTTGACTGGCAGCTCAATGTTTGAAAGAACAGAAAAATATAAAGCAATGATAACCCAAACAAGCACATGAGACATTCTAAGAAACTCTATAGCAATCAAAATGTATCAAAGATAATTACAGCAGTATTTTATACTTGGAAGGTAGATTTTTTAAAGCAATTAAAGCTTCTCTGAAAATGCAGTTTACTTGGATATACCAATTAATTTCTCTTGTCACTGGCTTGTGGCAATATCACAAGGCTGATTGCATTGGTCAAGATAAACCCTTGTAATAAATATACTCAGAATTTAATTATTGTTTTTATCTTAATGCCTTTTTCACAGATAACATTTTTCAAACCCATTTTTCTTGAAAGGTTATTACAGTATTATGCATGGGTATATTTGTATTATTGAAGCAAAAGAACCTCCATGTAAAGAAAGGCCATATATAATATTTTGTGTACATATACATCATTTTGTAATATGCATCTTTGCTTATTTTGTGAAGAAAAACAAATCTAATAACAGCCAAGGAAGGCATCTTATTTGCAATATAAGAAAAGGTCATGGACTTTTTCTTAATGACGGAGTTTGATTAGTTAAATCATGTAAATGAATTGTCTCAAAGATTGGAATAAATTAATTTTGCTCAGGCTTCAATTCTTGTTAACTTTTGTCATATGTATCAGAATGATCTGACAAAAAGAGTTGGTTTAAGACAGTTTCTCATTCTGTAATCCAGGCTGGCCTTGAACTCCCAATACTACTATCTTAGTGTCTCAGGGGCTGGCATTACAGGCATGTGCTATTATGTGCTGTTTAGGCTTCGTTAAAATTATTCTCCAACTACCACCGGTTACAGAGAAAGCCCTAAGAAGTCTTTTTATGGTTCTTGTTTCTTTATGCCATTCAAGCTGGACCAGGGCCGGCTCACAGTCCTCACTGCTCATGACACAGTTTTGGGGGAGCGGGGTGGGGAGGTGGGAGGGTGGGGGGAGAGAGGGAGAAGATATGCAGTGGGATTTCCTCAGTCACTGGTCTCTGTGCTGCAGTGAAGGAAGGGCGAGGCCCTTTCGCTATGGAATATACACAGATGTCATCAGTCGAGTCACCTGCACTAGGGTAGCTAAAGCAGGTAGGTCCTTAAGAACACAGGGCAGAGCTTGCAATTTACTGGGCAGAAAAGTCAGTACCTATGTCCTAACAGTCCTAGTTTTCTTGAACTTGGCTATCTTGTTATGTCTCTATGGCAATATGAACAGTAATAATTTCAGGCCTGGCCTCAAGCTGCTTCTACCATGACTCAAAACCATATATATTACAAACAAAAACACTAACTACATAACCACCACTATCTCTTCCCAATGAGAGTCCCACTTGATGTTGAAAGCGCTTATGTTTTGCAACTCCTGTGGCAATTTCTGAAAAATCCATTAGTTTTATTCAACCTCTTGTTTAAATCTGGAAATGGCCAATTTATGTAAAATGTCCTGGAGACCGGACGTCCTCCATGCAGGACACATTAACAAACTTTTTCCATGTGTTCCCTCAGCGAGGCTTTTGGGAAATAAGGGCATGGTTGGGATAAATAAGAGAAAAGTTAAAACGACTATGCCAAGAAAAGCCAACCCATTGTCTTCCCTGCCTGCTTGCTGCTCTTGACTATCTTCTAGCCTATGTCTTCTCCACTTTTTCCTCATATTAAATTCGTTTGGCTTGGGACAGAATGGTGACATTTCTGACCATGAGAAAAACATCTACGGAAGTCTCTGGCTCACAGGCCATCATCATTTAGTAGGTGACATTCTGTGGAAAGGTCCTGTTCATATCTCACTAGTGGATGAAATGGTAGAATTCTGTGTATCTAATTTCTCTTCATTTATCACTGGTTTACCTACAATGAGGCTCTGCATATAAACAATGTGATCCCCTCAAATTTGAATGCAAATACTTGGGGAAAAGAACCTAGTTCTTCTCTTAAGTTAGTCACTGACGTTCCTCATCTAGTGTCTGAAACAATCACTTCCCTTTCTTTTAGCTGTTACTCTATGGGGTTTCCCTTGAGATGAAGACTCACATGAAAGCTGCCGGCCTTCCCTTGTGTAATGCTGTTTCCCTCTCCCCTCCTGCACTCAAATGAACGTTTTCTCAGTGCAGAAGCCATGCACCAAATCGTCGTCAAGTCTCTTCATTTAAGCAAGATATGAATGAAACCGGGCTCTGATTTCAGAGACAGACATGAAAACACCACAGGATAGTGCCGTGTGGCCTTTGCTAGAAACAGATGTCCAGAAGCATCATGAGAATACAGATGCAGTAGTAATCGCTTTGAGTCAAGTGAAATGTTACCATTTTATCTAAAGTTCAGAATTATAAATGATGATGATAAAATACCTTGGTGGCTTAAATGTTCTCTATTTATATACAGAGGTGACATTAGAAACTAAGAGAATACTGTCAATAAATGTTCACTATATGCATACTTTAGTAACTTTCTTAAAACCACAAGAATGCATGTTTTCTATCTCTCCCAAGACCAACAAAAGTATGTAAGCCATAAACTCACTGAGTGAATGAATGAATGAATGAATGAACAGTATGAAATTTTTAAAGGGTATTTCTTTTTTATGTTGTTAGGTAAGGATATTAGGAGTATAGTCCAGTCAAGGGAAGGAAGGATATCATTAAATTTTAATTGCTATACTTTCGGATTCTAAGCATAAAACTCAAAGTACTTATGTATTTCTAATACTTACAAAATTCTTCAAAGGAATAATTAGATTCGTTTTAAGTGGTGCATTTCATGCTAACTATAATCCTTGTAAGAAAAGGAAAGAAAGGCTAAAATATCAAGGCAGACATGGACTAAAGAGTTGCTTATTTCCTTCTGTACTGAGAATTAAAGTCAATGCCCTTAAATTCACTTTTCATGACAATGATTTTTAGTGATCCCCACCATTTCTCTCCAGATGTTTGCGATGGTGACATTCTCCTTTCAACTGACAGATGATGGCTTCCTTTACCCATAAATTAAGGAGGAAAGGAGATGAAGCATACGCTTGAGCTTTATTTTTGTTGCTACCTTGAAACAGCCTATCTTAGGAGTACCAGAGTACTACCCAGAGGCACCAGAATACAGCCTGGACAATCATCTAAAGTATGTATCTCTGGAGGTTCATCTCATTTAATGCTTACTTTTGTTGGATTGGAAGGTTGTGCACGGTCTAGTTACATAGTTCTGTTCTTTTGAACAATTACTTTTTAAGCTTTTGGAGCCTCAGCTGTCTGAATGGAGTCAGAAGTAGCTTTCATACTAGCCAGTGTAGGCAAGAGGATATATCCAGCCCAGTTGTTGACAGCTACCCCTCCCCCCAGCACTCTAACTTAATTTAAGCCAGAAAAAAAAGTTATTTCTTAATATCCTCAGATGACAATGACACACAGAGGGGACAGCGTAGAAAATTGCCCAACACTCTTTAATATATAAAGCATTGTTTTCACAGACTGAAGACATTTTCTTAGATGCCTACTTTGGCTGGCTTTGTGTAGTGAGGGAAAGGTTTGGATACTTGTTGAAACAGGAATGTGGGGAAGCACAAGGAATTTATAATACATCGCACGTGATGGCTGTCTGTGACCAGGAGAAGCTGATGAGTGTCTCTGCGTGGGGGGATTAATGGTGGCTCTAATTTAGTCACATTTAATCTAATAACTGAGTAAATAAATCAATACATGAAAGTCCTGGTGAGTTTGGGTGAAGTACTCAGATAAATGCTGCCTCGCAGAATAAGCAATGCAGAAATCCACTTTGCCTTTCACAAAACTTCTGCAGAAGGGTGCATTCTGAGGTGGTTGTTAAGTGTACAACTTTAAATTTATGTCATAGTAAAACAAGATGCATAGACTGTTAAGTAGTACTCCTTTGTAAAATGCTAGCTGGGAGGTGTTAGAAGATGTAACCACCTGTGGCCTTCTTAGTAATCTCCTTAGGGGGACGATGACGAATGGACTGCCCTCTTCCATTAGCCATAATCACTGGGTGATGCGTGTCACATGTACAAGGCTATTTTTTCCTCCAGGCTTTCCCTCATCTTCCTAAGTTCAGAAAAAAACAAAAAACCCAGGAAATGTCATCCTCATTGCATTCACTGGGTAGGCCTAGACCTGCAGTGCCCACGGGACAAGGGGAGAGTCTTCAAGAAAACAACAGCATCTACCAGGTGCTGGTGGCTCACATCTGTAAGCTACTCCAGAGGCTGAGATCATGGTTCATGAGCAAGAGAGTCCATTGGCTTCTTTATCTCCAAGTAACCACCAAAAAGCCAGAAGTAGAACCGTGGCTTAAGCAGTAGAGTGCCAGCCTTG